GACCTCGCTCCTGGACTCCAGCCCGTTGAAATTCTCTCCTGACCCTTTCTACATGATGTTGAAGGTGGGGGGAAACTGTTCTCTTGACTCACATTTATAGACACAGAAAGTCTCTATAAAAGTGAGTTAACTTGACAGCCCGGGGAAGGAAAGGTGATGGCATTTAAACATAACCAGTTGACATTCAACCTCACGAAGGCTTCTGCCCTTCAGCCAGCATGTCTGGGGCCTCCTTTCTTGCTTTTACTGACAAAGGGGTCTAGCAGAGTTTGAAGGTGTTTCTCTGATGGGAGTGCAGGTGAGTCCCCAGGGATCAGCGTGACCATCTCTCCTCGACTCCATGTAGTAACTGCCTAGGTAGGAATCCCAGTAGGTCCCCATCTGGTCTCAGCCACCAGGCACATGCGAGTCAGTATATGTTGTGTTACTGTACCGATAACATTATCTTTGAGGCTCTTCCTGCACAAGTTGGGGAGAGTCCTCCCTCCCCCATCGAGTAGATTATGAAATGTACCGCAAATGACTTAAACCAGAGAGAGGTCATTCATTGTGTCAGCAATCTGTGGGGAAGCTTGTCACTCAGAACAGAAGCTGGGAGGCTGTCTTACTACTCATCTGTTTATCTTTGCCACACCCAGCACAGTGCTTAGTAGATTGTTTTATTCATGGAGTGATTTTTTTTTAACAGCTTTACTGATTATAATTCACAAACCATACCATCACCCTTTTAAAGTGTACAATGAAAGGTTTTTTAAAAAATATATTCACAGAGCTTTGTAACCATCACCACTGTCAAATTTTAGAATATTTTTATCACCCTCCCCAAAAGAACCCTGTACCCATTAGCAGTCACTTTCCATTTCCCCCCAATTCCCTGCCCCTGCCCTAGGCAACCACCAATCTACTTTTTGCCTCTATAAATCTGCCTATTCAGGATATTTCATGAAATTGGAATTATATGTCTTTGGTGGCTGGTCTCTTTCACTTGTCAAAATTCATCCATGTTATAGCATGTATCAGAATTTCATTTTTTTATTGCTAAATAGCATTTTATTATGTGGATATATTATATTGTATTTATCAGTTCATTAGCTGATGGACATTTGGGTTGTTTCCACTTTGGGGGTATTTTGAACAACGCTGATATAAACACATACGTGTTTTGTAGGGATATACATTTTCATTTCTCTTGGGTATGGACCTAGGTATGACCTTGCTGGGTCCTGTGGAAACTATGTTTAACCTTAACCTTTTGAGGAGCCACCAGACTACTTTCCACAGCTGCTGCACCAGTTTACATTTGCACCAGCAGTGAATGAGGGTCCTGATTTCCCCACATCCCACCAGCGCCTATTATCTGCCTTTTTTTAGCCTAGCCATCCTAATGTGGGTGAAGTGGTATCTCACTGTGGTTTGATTTGCATTCCCCTGATGTCTAATGGTGTTGAGCACCTTGACATGTGCTTAGTCATTTGAAGAAATGTCTACTCAGCTCCTTCCCCATTTTTTGATTGGGTTATTTGCCTTTCTATCATTGAGTTATAAGTGTTCTTTTTATATTCAGGATACAAGTCCTGTATCAGATATGTGATTTGAAAATATTTACTCCCATTTTGTGGGCTGCCTTTCCATTTTCTTGATAATGTCCCTTGTAGCACAGACGTTTTTCATTTTAACTATTTTTTCTTTGGTTGCTTGTGTTTTGGTGTTGTATCTAAGAAACCACTGCCTAATCCAAGGTACGAAGATTTGCTTCTATGTTTCCTTCCAAGAGTTTTATAGTTTTAACTTTTACTCTAGGTCTTTGAAACATTTTAAGTTCATTTTTGTATATGGTGTGAGGTAGGGGTTCGATTTCATTCTTTTGTATGTGGAAATCCAGTTGTCCCAGCCACATTTGTCAAAAGATTATTCTTTCCCTATTGAATTATGTTAGCTTTATTCCTGGATTCCAATTCTTGCCCTTGATCCATGTGTCTGGCCTTACACTAGTATCACTCTGTTATTACTATAGTTTTGTAGTAAGTTTTAAAATTAAGAAGTATAAATTATCTAGTTTGTTCGTTTTCAAGATTATTTTGCCTATCCTGGATCCCTAGATATTCCTATTCCATATGATTATTAGGATCAGCTTTTTAATTTCTGCAGCAAAGGCAGCTGGGATCTTTTTTTTTTTTTTTAATATATCTTTATTGATTTCAGCGAGAGGAAGGGAGAGAAAGAGAGAGAGAGATAGAAACATCAGTGATGAGAGAGTCATTGGTCAGCTGCCCTGTGCACACCCCTGACTGGGGATCGAGTCCGCAACCTGGGCATGTGCCCTGACCAGGAATCGAACCCCGATCTCCTAGATCATATGTCATTGCTCAACTGCTGTGCCACACCGGCCAGGCCAGCTGGGATCTTGATAAGGATACATTGAATCTGTAGATGAATTTGAGGAGTGTTATGTCTTAACAATATTAAGTCTTCTGACCCATTGACTCAGAATGTCTTTCCATTTATTTAGATCTTCTTTAATTTCTTTCAACAATATTTTGTAGTTTTCAGAGTACATGTCCTACACTTCTTTTGTTAAATTTATTCCTAAATATTTTCCTCTTTTGGATGCTGTTATAAATGGAATTGTTTTCTTCATTTCTTTTTCAGATTGTTCATTGCAATGTCTGTGATACAACTGAGTTTCATATATTGTTTTTGTCCCCTGCAGCTTGAACTCATTTATTAGGTCTAATAGTTTTTAAGTGGGTTTCTTAGGATTTTCTACATACAAGATCATGTCAGCTGCAGGTATACAGCTGGATACCTTTCCAATCTGGACACTTTCTGTCTCTTTTCCTGGCTAGAGCCCCCAGTACAGTGTTGAACAGTTTGTTGAGAGCAGACATTCTTGGCTTCTTCCTGCTCTTGAGGGGCAGGCTTCAGTCTTTTACCATAAATATGATAGTAACGGGGGGGGGGGTTGTAAATGCCTTTTATCAGGTTGAGGAAGTTCCCTTTTTGTCCTGGTATGTTGGGTGTTTTTATCATGAGCATGTGGTAGTATTTTGTTAAGGATTTTTTCTTTTTTTTAATCTACATTCATAAGAGAGCATGGTGTGTAGTTTTCTTGTTTTCCAATTGACCTAGATAGCTTTGTGTGGTTTGGGCATCAGGACCTTACTGGCCTCATAGAAGGAATTGGGAAGTGGTCCCTCTTCTGTTTTTTGGAAGAACTTTTAAAGAATAGAAATTGAATTTTCTTTAAAGCTTTTGCTAAGCGGTGGAATGATTTTAAGTGTACGTTTCCGTTTGGTGCCCGGTGACAGCGGTGCAGAACCATCTACATGTATTCATCAGCTGCTCTGGGCCGCGCCTGCTTCCTGGTGCTCTGCACACATCCTCTCGTCCCTGCTGAGGCGCCTGGGAGGCGGGTGTCAGCTGTACAGAGGCGACGGAGCAGAGCTGGGACCTGCGGCTGGCAGCTCTCTCGTGGTCTTTGCTCAAGGCCACACTCACGCTGTGGCCATAGAGTTCTCTCTGTGGCGAGCTGTGATGCTTCAGGCGGCCTCTAGAAAGCGGGGCTCAAGTCTGGAGGCTTGAATCGAGGGGCCCTGGGCACATGTTCCTCGTCTTTCCCCTGCATAGTTATTTCCTTACCTGTGTCCCGAAGGTGGGGATGTGACGTTGGTGGGGAAGATCCCTTGATGGCCTCCTGTCGAATGAGTGTCCAGGGGCTCTGCAGAGGAGGTGCAAAGGTGACCCGTGGCACGTGAGCCCCCGTGTTATTAAAAAATAGACCCATTCCCCGCCTCCTTTATAACAACTAGCAATTTCTAATTCTCTCAGAACATGTCTGAACTGTTACATTTTTTAATCTGTGCAAATATTTGCTACAATACTGAATAGCAAAAAAAATATTTTTAAAAAAGCTTGCCTCACAGTGCCCTGGCCAGTGTGGCCCAGCGGTTAGAGTGTCGCACCAAAGGGTCACGGGTTTCCTTCACAGCCAAGGGCACGTACCTGTTTGATCCCCGGCCCGGGTGGGGGTGCATGCGGGAGGCAACTGATCGATGTGCCTCTCTCGTATCCATGGGTGTTTTTTTCCTCTCTCTCCCCCTCTTTCCTTTCCACTCTCTCTATAAATCGATTGCTGTTTCCTTCTTTTCATTCCCTTCTTTTTGGCCAGTGCTGCCGTCACATTCGCCCCCTGTTCCTCTGGCAGCATTGCCAGAAGCAGACACTAGACGGGACAGTTGAACGTCAAGGGCAGGTCTCCCCCCCTCTCCCGGCACCCGGTCTGTGCTGGTCCCGTAGGACAGGCCAAGGCAAGCTCACGAGGCCAGGGCGATTCTTCGCTGTGAGCGTCGGGCTTTCCCGAGACGCAGAGAGCTCAGAATTTCCCCAGACAAGCAACCAAATGCGAGAACTCCTGTTATTTATTGTTGTAAGTTCCTGAGCAAGGCAGGGGAGTGTGGAGCGGACTTCGCAAGAGGTTTCTCTGAGCACCGGAGGACCACAGACAGTGGCGAGTCGTCTGTCTTGTTTTAATGGAATCTGTCTTTCAGTGTATG